TGCTCCCGAGCCGGTGCCTGCTGCTGCTCCCGAGCCGGTGCCTGCTGCTGCTCCCGAGCCGGTGCCTGCTGCTGCTCCCGAGCCGGTGCCTGCTCCTGTTCCACCGCCCTGGCCGCCCGAGGGGTCCTCACCGCCCTGGCCGCCCGAGGGGTCTTCACCGCCCTGGCCGCCCGAGGGGTCCTCACCGCCCTGGCCGCCCGAGGGCTCTTCACCGCCCTGGCCGCCCGAGGGCTCTTCACCGCCCTGGCCGCCCGAGGGCTCTTCACCGCCCTGGCCGCCCGAGGGCTCTTCACCGCCCTGGCCGCCCGAGGGCTCTTCACCGCCCTGGCCGCCCGAGGGCTCTTCACCGCCCTGGCCGCCCGAGGGCTCTTCACCGCCCTGGCCGCCCGAGGGCTCTTCACCGCCCTGGCCGCCCGAGGGCTCTTCACCGCCCTGGCCGCCCGAGGGCTCTTCACCGCCCTGGCCGCCCGAGGGCTCTTCACCGCCCTGGCCGCCCGAGGGCTCTTCACCGCCCTGGCCGCCCGAGGGCTCTTCACCGCCCTGGCCGCCCGAGGGCTCTTCACCGCCCTGGCCGCCCGAGGGCTCTTCACCGCCCTGGCCGCCCGAGGGCTCTTCACCGCCCTGGCCGCCCGAGGGCTCTTCACCGCCCTGGCCGCCCGAGGGCTCTTCACCGCCCTGGCCGCCCGAGGGCTCTTCACCGCCCTATGTTCCTGTCTCTCCCGTGCCCCCCTGGTGTGTCCCTCCCGTGCCACCGGATGGAGCGTCTGGTAGCCGCTCCGTAGGGAGGGGGTAGTGTCACGTGTCTGTCCTGTCCTGTGTGACACTTGGGTGTTTGTTATGTTGGGCCATGTGCTCATGTCATTGTCTGATCCCTCCCCCTCGTTACCTGATTATTGTTTGAGTTCAACCACCTGTTTCCCTCTTGATTTGTTCCCTTTATAAGTCTCCCCTTGTATGCAGTCTTTGTCGGATCTTTGCTTTATGTTTCCCCGGTTTTCCTTGTCATGCTCATGTTGTTCCTTGTCAGGTTGGTTTTCTAGTTTGGTTCTGTTTTATGCTTTATCTTTTCCCGCTCGTGGGGTTTTGTTTTGTGTTTTGTTAATAAATATACCCCTTATGCTGCACTTGAGTCCTCTCCTTCACTTTTGGTAACCAAACCGTGACAATTATCTCATTTTTGACATAGGTGGCTTTTAGAGGCTTTTGCATCGGAGGTCTTCATATATGTAAATATATATTTGAAAATATTTTCAAAAATGTATTTAATCTCAATGACAAAGTATCAAATTTTCCTCAAGGTACTGTCACCATAGTTATAATAACAAGCAGGGGGGTAAACGGAAACACTGAAAATATTCTGATCTGTCTCACATATCAAAAAACAAGTCATATCAACTAAACTTACACCATAACAATTAAGCAACTGTTTCAAGTTATAGTAAATGTGTTGCAATGCACAGAAAGCAGGTATCTCTGATTCGACTGGTTCATCTGGTGCTATATGGGAAACCACGGCATGTGGTGGCTTGTCTTAACTCAGGGTGTTTTGTCTTTGAAACCCCAGAGAGGAACAATTTCTCATCATTGGCATCAATGGCATCATTCTGGAATCTCTCAGGCATTCCAGTCCTTCAGTTACACATTCTTCATGGGGAACGGCAACTTGGATGATTACTTGGTGTCTACAAAACACAACTAAAATCCATCCAGTGAGTAATGAAATAACATTAAATAACTTTACATTATCATTATCAGTTATAAGTTTACCTCTATTGGCTGATCCATAATGAAATGCGCAGTTCCACTAAACACATCTTGTTGCCTCATCTTATAAGGCAGCATATTTTCCATTAGAAGTTTTCCTGTGCCTACTGTAATTAATCCACAGTTATTTGTGAATGAGACCCATTGTCATGCTGGAATTGGAAAGGGCCCTCCAACTCCCCAAACGGTTGCAAAAAAGTTGAACTCAAACAGTTCTCTAGATCTCTAGTGTCACTGTACTGTGCATGAAGATAAGAATGATCTTCATTGGAATTAAGGGGCCTAGCCAACACACTTATAAGAAAAAGAGATCACAGGAAATCCTGCCACTGTGCAGAATGGTCTGTCTATTTCTCATTTGATATCTAACAGAAACACATGTCTCTATATCCAGTTTTGTAGCCCAATTGAGAAATTCAAACAGACTGATTCATGACTGTAGTTTTAGAAGAGGAAATCATTTACTGCACACAAGGGCATGGAGCCTATGGTTTTTGGTTTTGAGAAATAGATATGGAGGTATTGAGCATGAACATGATTATGGATATGCTTAACAATAAGGAACAATTCCCAACAAGCTTTAGGTATCATGAACTAATACATTTCTAAACAGATTTATTTCAGGTTAATGTTCATTTACAGCATTTCATCAGTACACACATTTGACATTGAAAGAACAAGACATCTTAGGACATCTTTTGTGTTTTTCTTTTTTATCATGAGAAAAATAAGGCAGCCAAGTGACTAGGGCCACTAAAAGAACACTAGGGGAAAACCTGAAGCTATTTAATTCCATTACACTTCATTTGAGTAAGTGCAGTGCTGCAGTTTTTAACTGTGCCTTTGTCGAGGAGAAACCCTTTGGCTTTGGTACAGCTTTTAGATATTGAGTTGCCACATGCTCATTGATAGGACTGACAAACAGCGCCTGGTAATGCAATTCACTGCTTCAGGGTGACCTGGAATGTTCTCCGAGTTTCAGAAGAGCATGCGAGGCAGTGAAAGCCTTAATAGGCCCCGACAAAAGCCTTCCGTCCTTTACAGAAATGGGCTCTGTTGCTGTTTTTAGTATTGGTGCATCACACTTGTAATGTAAAATAGGCCAAAAAAAAAGGAGAGAGAGAGAGAACGAAATACCCTACCAGTGGGACACTATTATGTTTGTATTTGCATTATATTTTTCATATTGTAACACTAATCATAAACTCGTGTAATGCAGTGCTTCAAATGTGCTGATTATTTTGGTTTTACTAGAGAGTGAACTTGGATACATTTGTCTGTCAGTATCTTCTCATTATTCAACAGAATAATTTGTTCCTTTGTTGTTTGTTTATAGGATGGACAATCTTTAATAGAACAATACATTATTAAGCCTTTGAGGATTCTTTAATGTATTTGGCTTTTATTAATGTCAAAAGCATTTGGTGCAACTTACATTTGCTAAAAATACTACAGTGAAAGATGAAACAATAAATCACGTTTTTTTTATTGTAATTTAGTGTGAACTTTGAAAGCATGCTGTACTGCAGAAAAGCCACATATTGCTTTCATGTATTTTAAGCTGGCTTTAACAGAATAAAGGAAGAAATGCCAAGACAATTTTTAATAGACTATAAATCACATTCTCTGGCTGGTCTTACACGCTTGAAATGGAAAAATCTATATAAATTTGTTTGGTTTTCAAATGTCAAGTTTTCTTCATGGCTGAAATTAATGAGGTTTTTACCCATTCTGGTGCAAGGCAGAAAATAACATAAATTGTTGTAGGCTAACATTGATGCTTTTATTTAATGTGAAGGTGATTCCATCACCAGAACAGCACCGAAGCATATTCACAGTAGAGTGGCAAGCTGTTTTGACTTTTATTCAGATATGAATTCTTGATATCAACAATTACATTTTAACTATAGTTAAAATGCGAATTAATGATTATCAGGAATTAGATTCCTACTAACAATGGCAACTTTGGATGTCAGGAATTACATTAACACTAGTGAAAATGTTAATGATACCAACAATGACATCATCACTCGCAGAAATACGAATTCTTGATATCAGAATTAAATTTCAACTCGTAAAAACTAATTCTTGATAATTGTTTTTTTCACTAGTTGAAATGTCTCCATAGGCTGCCGTTCAAATTCAATTGTTGATATCAAGAATTGATTTCTTACTAGCTGAAATTCCAATTTCACATATCAGAAATACAATTCTTGCTAGTAAAAATCCTGATAGCAATAATTACGTGGTTACTGCAAATGTCTATTCTTGATATCAATTGAACTGCTATCATTATTGACATCAATCATTTGATTGTCACCCAATGACAATGTTAATTTCTGATATCATGAATGTGATTGTTACTTGTAAGAAAGCCATTTTAGATATCTGAAATTACTCTCCTTATTATTGATATCAGAAATACATTTTCAGATATCAGAAATAACAAATGTAACATGTTGAAATACATTTACAGATACCAAGAAGTAACATTACAACTAGTGAAAATGGAGATCATGATATCAAAAATTTATTTTTTACTAGTAGCCTAACCACGTAATTATTTATATATATATAATTTGATTTGAAACTGGAATTTCAATTATAAGAAAACTAATTTTTGATATCAACAATTTAATCTAAATCTAAATCAGCAATTTAATCTAAATGACAGCATATGGTGACATTTAACTAGCCTAGTACAATTAGGCTATATCAAGCATTACAGTTTTTAGTTGAAATTTAATACTTGATATCAAGAATTCATATTTATGTCAGTGGTGACGTCATTGTTGTTTTACCGGTGGAAATGTAATTCCTGATAGCCTGTCAAAAAATGCCATCGTTACTAGTAGAAATTACTAGAAGAAAAAACTAGTACAAATTCATATGAATAAAAGTCAAAACGGCTTGCCATACAGTAGTTCCTCTTACACCTCCAAGTTTAGCCAGCAGCTCTTCCATTCTATTATAAAGCAACCCAAAAGCAAAATACTTAAATTATGTAGGCCTAGTTTAAAGAGGTGAAATACTGCATGTCCTACAGAATGAGAAGACACTTTTTTATTTTTTATTAATTAGCATATTGTTGAAGAGTGGGAACTATATTACAGTTGAAAATGTCTGTTATTACATGCTTGAATAGAACCAAAGTCTGAGTCTCAAGATTAAGAACGAGCAAGAGAAACATTTTCTATTATGTTCTGCGGACATCTAGTGGAGCTGTAAGAAATTTCAGGGACGTTCTTGTGTTTGTCCTTTACAGGCTTCCGTTGTTACGTAATCATAAGGTTAAACCAGAGGAGCTGTTAGCAAGCTAACAGCTAACATACATCATACACAATTCAGGTAAGAATATACATTTGCTTAATGTGAATATTGTTATTGCGCATCTATCTACAAAGAGAGTACCAAATAATACAGAACACAGGATATGTTTCATTATTATTGGAGTGATTGTTATTAAATTTAACTTACAACATAGTTTAGCCAGTGGGCTATGAGACATGAGTAATGTGTCATTAACGTTAACTGTTTACTTATAGTTCATCTGTTATTACATTTGTGAGAATTGGTCGAAGCCCGAATATTTTAGTTTTTTATAGTGATAACAGTTACGTTGTATTCTTTCTTTATTGCTCCTTTATGACCTCTCTGTACGTTGCACAACAGACAGCAGCTGGTTTATTACATATTGAAGATTATTATTGTTTAGTTCTTAGTTATAAGAGGAAATATTGCAACTCAGGGTGATTTTAACAAAATTAGCCGTTTCTTTGAAGCTTTACTGGGCTGTACAGCTCTTCTGTAAATTATGAAATCTTGGACCCACTGCTCTCATCCATGTTTTATCCAGCTCAAAATAATTATTGTTTTGTCAGGTACCTATAATGAAGAGTTACATTTGTTGTGTGTGTGTGTGTGTGTGTGTGTTTTATTTTAATAAGTATTGTTCTGTGACTATATATTTCCCCCCCACCCACAGGTGAACTGTAAACAAGAGAAGCCCAACAGGATGACCAGTGTAAGTGTACTACTGTAAACCCTAGTCTTTGCAAGGTGGATCCAAGTAAACACAAAAAAAATCTAACATCATGACTACATGTTTGTCATTGTTCTCCTATGGTAGAGATGTTTATAAGCGCTATATAACTGCTTGCTGTGTTTTCTCAGGTGCTCTGCAGCAGAGCTCGACTGGTGACGTACCTGCCAGGGCTTCACGTTCTAGTTCATCGTGTTGTTGGAGCCAGAACTTTCTCTGGGGCGTCCGGCTCAGATGAGCCACACTTGAACATCACAACCCCTAACGTTGGTAAATGAGTGTATTCCTCTCTAGAATATTTTAAAAAACAGTTGTCCTCCAATAAAACAGAATTTAGTAATTGCCTTTTCAGGTAGACTTACTGTAATTGCAAAATATTTAACATACAGATTAATAACAACATTTGCTGTGGTATCATTAGTTTGATGTAATATAACTTTTAAAGGGTGTTTTCTAATGGTTTGTGTTGGTTATTTCCTGTGAATAGCACCCAGGACAGTGTGGCCGGATGAGAACATGGGCCCATTTGGGCCTCAGGATAAGCGCTTCCAGTTGCCGGGTAACGTGGGCTTTGACTGTCATTTGGAGGGTCCAGCGGAGCAGAGGAACACACCGATCCACAGTGTGATGCCGGACTTGCTCACTGCTCAGTCCAGCAGCGAGAGGCACAACTTCATCCTGGCCCATTTCATCAATGAGCTACATGTATGATGCTTTCAGAAAAAAAGATCTGTATTTGGAATGACAGAATAAACAAATAACTAGTAAAAATAACATTATTAATGGTTGAGAAGTTAATGTTAATGCATTAATGTTTAAAGATCATAATTAAAGGTAGGGTATGGGATTTGCAAAACGGCCGGCAGATTTTGAAAATACACAACTCAAAAGGTCCTACCTTCTTTCCTCCAACGCTAGCCCTGACTCCACCCATTCGAAGAACATGGACGCGCAATCATGCATCTGCAAAACTCAGATGCGCGAGATTGCACTCTCTCTCTCTCTCTGTACCAGGGCGACTTGCACTTACTGTGACTGGGTCACGAGCTTTGAGTTTGCGCACGAAGGGGACACGCGCGCGAGGGGTATGGGGGGAGGGGGGTATGGTACGACCGTTTGATTGACGCACTGACTGTCCATTGATTCTAGGTGGTCTTGGAAATGATTGGCTGGAGTTTTTCGAGTCCTGCCCGTTCCACAGATGATTCAATTACTTAATTTTCATTTCAGTGCTTCTAACTCAGTGGCTGTAAGTGGGTTAGGAATAGGATTTTATAGTGATTTTGAAAAAAATGGTCAAAAAAGAAAATCACATACCCCACCTTTAACAACATGAATTTGAAAAACAAAAGACTTCACTATCATTAATAAAGTTATTATTTTGCTATTGCTTATAATATCTAAATGTTACCTCATAATGTTAATATAATGTAAAATAATATTATGTTAGATTTTATATCGTTCAAAAGTTTAGGGTCGGTAAGCTTTTTAAAATGTTTTTGAAAGTCTTTTCTGCTCACCAAGGATGCATGTATTTGATCGAAATACTGTAAATTGTGAAATCTTACTACAATTTAAAATAACTATATATTTTTTTAATATATTCTGAAATTAAATGTATTCCTGTGTTTGAAAGCTGAATTTTCAGCATCATTACTCCAGTCTTCAGTGTCACATGATCCTTCAGAAATCATTCTAATATGATGATTTGCTGCTCAAGAAACATTTCTTATTATCAATGTTGAAAAGTTATATTTTTGAGGAAAGTTTCTTTGATGAATAGAAAGTTCAAAAGAACAGCATTTATTTGAAATATAATTGATTCTGTTTGTAATATATAAGTCTTTACTGTCACTTTTGATCAATTTGATGCATCTTTGCTGAATAAAAGTATTATTTTCTTTAAAAAGATCTCGACACCAAACTTTTCAAACTTTTATATATTCAAAGAGAGAGAGAGAGAATACAATACTGTGTATATATGTACATATAAATGCATTTGTTTTGTTTTTTAGGAAATTGATCAAACTTCTTCAGCACAGAACGAAGATAAAGCAGAGCACTTTTTTGATCATTCCAGTGTGGAGTGTGCCATTCAGTCTTGCCCGGAATTGTTAAAGAAAGGTCAGTATGCTGCTGTTTTAGAGTATTTGAATTCATCCGATTTAGCATGGACTTGTTATATTCCTCTGTGACTTTCTGATGAGATTGTTGGCAGTAGGGGTGGGCTCGGTTTGAATGGTGTAAATGTAAAATATGACCACAAGAGGGTAGCTTTTCCATATGTATTTTAGGCACTGAATTTTGTGGTTCTAAATCTCAAAATGTAAGTGTTTTGTATGCAATTACTGTACAGATATTTATTCTTTCGTACTGCAGTGTCGCTTTCGTGTGGTTAATGTTTATTTATATGCGTATACCCTATTTATTATCTAATTCAGATTTTGAGTCCATGTTCCCTGAGGCGCCGTCAACTGGCTTGATAGTGGTCACTGTGACTCAGAAGACACAGAACGACATGACGGCCTGGACTGAGCAAGTGGACAAAGAAAGGGAAGAGCTGCTGGCTAAAGTGAGTTGATCTAGTTGCTTGATATGATTAACATACCATTACATATATATATTTATATATAAGTGCATAAATCATGTTATTTGCAATTAACAAGATGCATATGTCAACATCCTAAAGAGATGTGCCAGAGATATTAAGAACTCAACATTGCGATAGATAGATAGATCGATAGATAGATACATAGATAGATAGTCTATCTATTTATCTGTCTATCTATAGATACATCTATACTGTATAGATAGATAGATATTTTGTCATATAATTGAAGTTATATATATTATAAAAATATATATTAACTGTAAATTAGTATATAATATATATTTATGTGTATTATATTATACATTAATATTATCATATTTACATTATATATAATATTGAATATTATTACTGTACACACATAATGCCTAAATGAAGCTGCTGTCACATCGTATAAGAGTGGCTCATGATTCAGGGATCATATTTTAGCCCCTCTCTGTGACTTTGTATTGTCCTTGAGCAACAGTTATTTGGCTTTAGTACAAAAAAAGTTCTTCAGAACATGTGTGTATAAGAGGGAGAGCTTTGGCAGGCTGTGTTATTTACTGTTATTGTCTGGTTCACATCACTGTGGGGCCATGCTGTAGGAATGCTGCAGGGACTGTATTATATTCATGCCGTTGATTGTTTATGAGCAGCTTTATTCAAAGGAAAGATTTATAACTGAACGTGTGCCAAAATGGAAGCTCCATGGTTAAAGCAATTCATTAGAGTTGAATCAATGTTGATAATTGTGTTCTATGCAGTTTATTTCAGGTGCCACAGAGATATGTAATGCTCTCCGAACAGAAGGATTCTGGGCCGATTTCATAGACCCGTCATCTGGACTTGCAGTAAGTCCATATAAACGTGTACAGAACTTTTGATACAAACCACAAGCTGCTGTTTAAATTTTCTTAATCTTCTCTGTCCTCAGTTCTTTGGTCCGTACACAAACAACTCACTCTTTGAAACAGATGAAAGGTATCGGCATTTAGGTTTTCAGATTGAAGACCTGGGCTGTTGTAAAGTGATTCGGCATGTAATGTGGGGGACGCACGCTTTTGTGGGCACACTTTTCACCACAGCGCCACCCAACAGCCAGATCATGAAGAAGCTACAAGGGGACTAAAGTTAATTAGTTAAAGATGCTGTGTGTGTCGCCATGTGAACACTTGTCAATATCAAAAACACACTTACATCCCATAAAGCACTTAATGAAGTTTCCCAATGACTGCTGCTGGAAATCTGTATTTATTTTTGTAGAACAAAGAGCACTTTTGGTGTAACTTTTATTTTGGATATTTGTTTTACAGAGGGAAGTTCTGTGTCAAATGTCTAACATCTCTCTCTCTCTCTCTCTCTCTCTCTCTCTCTCTCTCCACTGATGGTGGTTAATTTTGTGCCATAAATTATACATAAAAGGTTTGGGTAGTGATCAAGAGCAGTAATCCGTTTAATTCAGTATTGTAAGCTTTAGTCATAGCTCCATAACAGGCACAATAAATAATAATAAATAAGGAGTATCACTGGCTACAATGTTGGCATCTTTTTGTGTTATTTTGATGCCTTTTAAGTAAATAGACTTGGTAAATGTAATGATAATTGGAATGACTGAACTGATTTTATTTGACAAATGTTCATACATTTGTACATGATGAATTACTGGTTCTTAAATATCAGGTGGTTTTCATAAATGGCTTAGTTTAGACTAAACACTCAGCAAAACCATTACATGACTTTGTATGCAGTTGAAAACAAGTGTATTCACAGGTCAAGTCATTAACTTATCAATGTATATTATGGATAAATTGCTCAACTTTTTGCGTAACAGCTAATCATTCTCAGGCATGAACAATTCGTATTTTGAGCTTAATATTTAAGCAGAGCCCAAAACATGGTTGAAAATGAATTAGCAAACATTAAATTAACATAATATATATATATATAACTGTATATGTACACTATGGTTCAAAATTTTTTAATTTAGGGTCGGTCAGATTTTAAACTGTTTTTGAAAGAAAAACAAAAATATTTGTAAAATCAAAAATATTTGTGATATTCAAATTTAAAATGTTCTCTATAGTAAAATATTTTAAAATGTAATTTATTCCTGTGATGCAAAGCTGAATTTTCAGCATCATTACTCATATATTACTCCAGTCCTCAGTGTCACATGATCCTTCAGAGATCATTCTAATATGATAATTTGGTGTTTAAGACACATTTCTTCTTATTATCAATGTTGAAAACAGTTGTGCTGCTTAATATTTTTGAGGAGACCATGATACAAATCCTTTGTAACACTATACATGGCTTTACTGTCCCTTTTGATCAATTGAATGCATCCTGAAAAAAAAGCATACTGACCCCGAACTTTTGAACTGTAGAGTATGTGCAGTGTAATATAAGTAGAAATGTAGATGTTGGCTATTGATAATTGATTTGCTTGAAGCGATCATAGCCAGCAGCTGCTGAGGTCAGTGTCTCAATGGTGTCATTCGATTTCATTCAGAAGCACAACAGATGGACAATAATCACTCTTCTTTAAACTCTGACATGATACCATTATTTAGATAGTTCTTCACTCTCCATTAGCACATGTATGTCGGTTACCGTAATTGTGTTTAAATCATGCGGATAACATAAGGATTATGTAAATACTTTCATGGTCATATATGCTCATAGATTTAAGTGTAACAATTTCATTTATTCTATAATTAAAATGAAAATGTTACTTCACCTTTGGAGCTGTTTTTATTATTATTTTATTTATCTTAATATTTTGCTTTATTATATCAGATATGGTAATTTGCTTACATTGTTTTCAGTCCTTCGTAGAAAATTACAAAGCAAATAATTTTATGGCGAGTGCATTGGATCTTATGGTTTGCTTCTTCTGTAACCAGTATCTGAAGATTTTCATTAAAGGTACTTAACACAAAACAATCTGTCATGATGTGTGGTGAAATCAAAGTGTGCGGCTGATCAAAGACAGACTGTGTGTGATTTTAAGAACAGCAGTCATCATCACCCCATGTCTGATGGATTGACATGGCTATCAATTAGATGCAATTGTCCTGATAAAACTTGGTTCCTACCCTTTGTTCATTGGAAAGTTCACTAACTTCACTGATTATAATGTCACCTGGTCCTTTTATCATCCTAAAGTAACACAGTGTTTAGCCTAAATTTATAAATGACCTTTGTGTAACTAGTCTTCAGTCAATTGTTGAGGTAACAATTTTGTCATAAAGAATTTTCATGAGAAAAAACCTAATAAGCTACATGCACACTTTTATCAGATTTTTTTTAAAGCAGGGTAGAATAAGGGGCTGGTTACACAACACCGTTTTTATCTAAAAACTAATCTTTTTTTTTTTTTTTTTTTAATGCGTTTTGGTCGTTTATTTACACAACAATCGTTTTGGGGGCCTGAAAACGCAAATTTTTGAAAACAGGTTTCAAAATGCAAGTTTTTTAAAACAATACCATTATCATATCCGTGTACAAACCATAGTACAAACTACAAAAATGTGAATTTGTGAAAACGGTGACATATTATGTGCTCAATAAGCGCGTAGTGTTTCTTTTGTGACATCGCCAATGGCCTGGCATGCATAATACAGCATTTTAATTGTTTTCGTGACAAAAAAACTTTTTCATTTTTAGTACATTGTTGTCATGTTGCCTAAATGTGTCCTATCCCAAATAATTATGTTTTTGTGGCATGAATATAATATATAATATAAATTCAATTGTATTTTTGACTAAAGCACCATTTGCAATGGTGGAATAATTCAAATCACATGAAAATGACAGAATCATAAATTTTTTATTGGGGTTAGATATCTAGGTCAGACAGCCATCTTGTTGATCATGAGAAATGAATTATTCAAACAAATCCCCACCCTCACAACCCCACGTCCTCTAAGAACATTTTTGTATTAATGTTTATTTTATTTTTATTTTTAACGACTTTAGGTTTAGATCTGTGTAGGCTATTTGCTAAAAGTCCTGTTAGATATGGAAGATAAATCATTGACTTTTAAGAAATGTTAACATGGATTTTTGGTAAATAATCAGCCTACATACATTCGTGATTCCATAAATAAATAATAATAATAATAATTGTCAGATTAATGGACGTATAGGAATGTCTACCAAATAGCTGGAATGATTAAGAATATATAATATAAAATAAATATATATATATATATATATATATATATATATATATATATATATATGCTGAATGTATGAATAGGCTGATACAGTATATATGTATAGGCTATCTATTTGTATTTACCTATATATATGGAGAAATATTGAACAATTATTGAGACAAATGACAATTCAAATTGATTCAAAGCAAAGAAGTCAGACACAAGAGCTGAAAACACACAAGGAATTGAATATCTGCATAAATGAAAAACAGTGTGAGATGGGGGGTGGGCTCTTCTGTCTCCTGTTAGTATAGTGACAGGCAACGCCAGGTCTGTAGAGAAAGGAAAACCTGCAGAGTCAGAGGTCTGTTCTGACAATGGAACGTTCCCACTCGTTATCTGCCAACACTTTCCTGTTTTTCAGAAAGCAGCTAAGATTTACATTGGCTAGGGTATGCGGAGATTACCAAACCTCCGCTCTCTGTTTATGATTTTTCTCTGCACTGGGCAAAAAAAATTAAATTGAAGGTATTTTAGGGTTAAATTAAGGACAGAATTTCTGGTGGGCATTCAAGTTGACCTAATAGGAATTTGTGTTTTTAACTTCTGTTGTGATGCCATGTTTCTTTTTGTGTTGCCAGGATCAAGTTCTGTTGACTGCTGCAAAAGCTCAGAGTCTGTGTATTTGGACTCATGGTGATCATGAACCGAACAGCAGCCGGTGTAATACACAATGTGATCTGTGTGCTTGTTCATTCAGCTCTGTGTGTTCTGACAGGTAATCATTTTAGGGTTTCTGCTGGATTTTCATTGAATTAGACTTAGATTAGAGTTTAGACTTGAATTAGAAAACTCAGACAGAATGAGTGAGAGCTGCAGATAGACACATAAGATCTGGATCTTCAGAAACAACTTTTTTTGACTCAGAAAACAGATGATGTTGAATGGCTCATATGCTAATGCAATTCTCCCCTTTTTTTTAAAGCAAATATTTTCAATTATATTTTCAATATTCTGTAATATTTAGATTTTTTGTTTTGTTTTTGTCCTGCTCATTCTTTTTACTGCCTGTATTGCTGTTCAAATTCAGGTTTTTGTTTAAATTTCAGAACATCAGACGCTATTTTTAGGATTCATCATTCATATTTTGGTGTATCCTGAGCCTTCATGATCGTGTAATTCAGTCATCATAACGCTGAAGCTGTGATGGTGCACTTCTCTCAGTCCAGTCCTTCCTCAAGTCTTTCCATCACACTGCAGCAGACTTCCAGTCTGTCCTGTGAGATTTTCCCAGCACTGTCTCCATCTTCCTCTGAAGACAGATTTCACACTTACATCACTATCTGTTGTTGTCTCCACCCTGTCCTGGAAACTGATAGCATATTTACACACTAAAAAGCAGTTGCATTTTGTCCAGTAGGCCTGTACATGATTTATTCAGTCACAGTAAAAAGAAAAGAAAAGTGAATACATGAAAGTTTGATGGCATATACATTTAATAACTGTAATTATTGTTATGAGCAGTAGTCCTACTAAAATCACTATAAACACTTATTTTATTATCTTGTACAATATTAAACCTATATTTTACGCGTGGCTCAGTCATGCTGAACGCAGACACTTGGCATTTTCCCACAGTAAAGAAGGGCTGCGTTTGTTTCCATTGCTGCTCAATCTATCCCAAAGCTCCACGGCAGAGTAATTAAAATCTCAGCATGGCCGTACTGAACAGGATACGCTGCCATGCCCTCCAACAATGAGGGTCATTCTTTGGACTCCAGACCAGGTACCTGAAACCCAGCCTGCAACAGCTCTTGATCATTAAAAACATGTTCCTGCTCATCTGGAAAGTCAGCTCTAGAGCGGAAATTTGACTTGTATCGGCAGGGAATTAGCCGAGAAACTGGATTACTAAAGCAAGAAGATTATTTGAATGTTTTTCAAAATGCCTATTTTTTTTAAATTCCTTTATTTGAGACCCTTCAGCTACTCTGCTGTACTTTGTACAAACATTTTCTCTTGTAAAGTATTTATTTTTCTACTGTCACAACAGCAGATTGTTACTAAATGCCACTATGAGCAAAGCCAACTTCATATTTAACCTGTAGTCCATTTGTGAAACAAGAAGTAACCAAAGGGTCACTGGGTGTTCACCGTTGACCTCTTGCATTGGGCTTAATGAGAGTTGTGTTTACTCTTCTCTGCTACCATAAATCTGAAGACCCAATAAAATAAGACCTAAACCTGTCTAGATAAAATAAGTTGAAATTTGAGTAATATAAACCATTGGAACCAGTTACAAATATGCCAACTCCAACTGAGGCATGTTATACTCTACAATGGGCTCTTAAAACACAAGGCTTTTCCTGTTTTAGGAATAAAGCAAATACAATGTGGTTAACTTAACTTTTCTATGAACTTTACTATATCTAAAAAAAATTAAATAATAAGAATAATAATTTTACTTCTCAGGAATATTTAGATAATCAAGAAAAAATGCTTAAAGTCACCATGTAGTCAAAACTCATATCTAAAAGTTTTTTCCTGTACAAAAATTCTTCATGTCTTAAAATAGCTTAAACGTAACTATACATACACCCTTGCTTGGAACCATGGATATGGAAATTAGCCCCGCCTCCACTCATTCACGCCAGCTCAGACAGAGACACACTCGGTCAACTTTCACTCAAGTTCCTGTAGTAAACGCTGCTCAATGGTATCGCTCTTTACATACAGGTAATTAATATGACTAGCCGTTTGCTTGACTAAGTTATCAAACAGCTAATAATTTGCTGCTAATGTTACACTTAACCATTGTTCTCGTTCGGCATCCCAGAGTCTAGCAGTCAGTATCCTTATAAACTCAGAACGTCAGTAGAGAAAGGCATATAGTTAATCATATATCATTGTGATATACATCATATACATAATTCACCCACCATATTGCTAAATCTACCCGATTTTTCATATCAACAGAAAAATATACCTGGCTTCTCTTGAGACTCCCCTGCTTCGCAACATAGTTAATCATATGCTAAAGCCCGCCGGCACCTTGACATGATTGGTTACAAGTTAGTTTGTGACGTAAGAAACACCAGCGATTTCAAACCACGTTTTTGAGACAGTCTTCAGAGTTTTAAGGAGAAAATATTCAGCCATGGTGTTATGAATTTGCACAATTGTCTTAACATGCACATGTTTTTTGGCATTTGCAGTTTTTACACCTGCATAATCCTGATTAGTTTAGCACTGTTAGCAGTTATACATTTAAAATAGTTGACCATAGGCATGAAATTAAAACGGGGGGGGGGGGGGGGGATGGGTAACGCTTCCTTTTACAGTACAGTACTTGTGTACTTACAGTGTACTTACCTAGAAAGTACTGACTAAGGTAAGTACATGGGTTAGGGGTAGGTTCAGGGTTAGTACCTAGTTATTACCCAGTAATTATAATTACTATATTAAGTACATAGTAAGTACATGGGTAACAGGACTGTAAAAGGAAGCGTTACCGAAAAATGTGCCAGATTTAGAAAGTTTAGAATGCCTCTTTGAGTGGAAAATGGAACAAACCAGAAATATCTTTTGTGTGAATAGCCAGTAAGCCTCATTTGAAGAGAACATTCACAAGCTCATTTGATTTTCATGTTGAATTATGCTGTCCGTAATTTAGACGAAGCAAACTTAATTTTTAGAATATTAATTTTATTAACAGAAAACAAAACATCAGTAAACATTCTGATGTGAATTTAATACATTACAACACAAGATACCACAGAAGTGTTACAAATGTACTCCAAAGGCATGATTTAAAAACGTTATGTACACAATAATATACAGGGATATTACAAACCAGTGTAGAAAAAAATATCTACATTTATAACAAGCCTTGGCACACGATGGCATGCAGCATTCACAATTTTGTAAGTATAAAAAGTTCATGCAACCCTATTACAAATCTGTATTTTTGTATTATAGTTAAGATGAGAGTAGAAACTGATGAAAGACCTTTTTATGTACATAAACAATGTTATAAATCGGAGCTGATTTATATCAGCACATTCAGAGACATGTTTAATGCACATGACCCTCAGATAGTTAAGCTGGGTCCACTCAGGTTAAAGGTGTTTTGTGCATTTACTAAACTGGCACTAACTAATTATTAATTACCTGAGTAAATGGTTTGAGCCCTTCTGTGATCACCATGCCCTTTATATTGTACTGAAGTGAACAAACTGATTTTAGTGAATGTTAAAATTACTTTTCATAACTCGACAAAAGACAGAGAAGAAACAGGAAATAGCTTCATTCACAGCCAGGCAGATCGCCTAAACAAATCATAAAGCCTGAACAAATAACACTGTCGCCGCAGACTCAACATTTTTAGCTGATTGCACAGTCAGCCAGGAATCATGATTAGGAAATATTACAGTACACAACAATGGACTGACGAATGTATAGGAACATATACGTATATAATAATAATAAAGCCTTTCACTGTAGGCTATATGGACGTTCAATGCTAGTCACAACACTTTCACATGACAATCTGTACACAAGTGCTTTACGAATACAAATACACAGTGCAAAACAAAAACAAAATGTTCTTTTTATAGGATTGACAAAGTTGCTGGATGACATGTTGAACTTTTTTTCTAGGTTTCAAGCCCTTTTCCATGATGACAAAATGATGAAAGAGGGGTGGGTGGAAAATTCATGACTCCTTGACCCCTAAAGTTATGCTCATACAGGCAACAGCACACAGTTCAACATCCTACAAAAATGGATACAAAAATAAATATATCTATACAAATGTATAAAACACAACTTATTAATTCAAGACAAAAAATGTGCAGGTTTGTGTCAGTTTTGCTATAAATAGCCTCTTCCCATGTACAGTACCGTTCAAAAGTTTGGAAACATTACTTTTTTTTATGCTCATCAAGCCTGCATTTATTTGATCAAACATACAGAAAAAAACAGTAATATTGTAAAATATTATTACAATTTTTAAAATAATGGTTTTCTATTTTAATATACTTTAAATGTAATTTATTTCTGTGATGTAAAGCTGAATTTTCATCAGAAATTACTCCAGTCTTCAGTGGAAGCCTTCAGAAATCATTTATTAGCAATGCTTAAACTTTTTTGAAACCTGTGATATTTTTTCAGGATTCATTGATAAATAAAAAGTTAAAAAGAACAGCATTTATTTACAATTCTAACTATATAAATCTTTACTATCACTTTTGATCAATTTAACACATCCTAGCTGAATAAAAGAAAGAAAAAAATATCACTGACCCCAAACTTTTGACCGTTGGTGTATATTGTTACAAAAGATTTTAAATAAATGCTGTTCTTTTTTTAATTTAAACTTTTTATTCATCAAATAATCCTGAAAAAAGTATCACAGGTTATAAAAAAATATTAAGCAGCCAAACTGTTTCCAACATTGACAACAAATCAGCATATTAGAATGATTTCTGAAGGATCATGTGACACTAAAGACTGGAGTAATGACTGATAAAAACAAAATCAGCTTTGCATTACAGAAATAAATTATATTATAAAGTATATTCAATTAGAAAACCGTTATTTTAAATTGTAATAACATTTCACAATATTACTGTTTTTTTCTGTATTTTTGATCAAATAAAAGCAGGCTTGATGAGACTTCTTTCAAAAAGATTAAAAATAGTAATGTTTCCAAACGTTTGACCGGTACTGTACATCATGAAAAACTCAATATTTTTTTTTTTTAGAGAATATTAGTATAGGATTCATAAAAATGAATTCATAGGAAAGAAGAAGTCCAACAACTAACACTTCATTTTGAGGAAGGTAAAGCCCACAGCTGACTGGCACGTGTCAATGGTTTAGTTATTGCCATAAAGGTTCATTCTACTCTCAGTTAATACAGTGGAGCATCAGGCCGACGATACAGACAGAAAGCAGCAGTGTGGGACTCTGTGCTGGTTGCATGCTCTCGTTAATGGGAGAAGTGGTGGCAAAGATGGCATCAGTCTCATTTCGTGGGAGAGACATGTTACAGATGTTCCCCTCGCAACAGGCTGTACACTCCTGCATAGAGAAAACCAAACAAGATTTACACTTTCTGAATGCCGGTGCTTGAAATGCAAGACAGCACTGATGCAAAAAGCACAGTATGAAAGGTGAAAACGCTTTTATGAGACATGCTTCTACAAAATAACAAAAATAAACAAACAGAAAATGCTGAACTGCAGATTTATAAGCTACTGTTTTTGATATAAAAAAACGAATCGGTTACCTAACGTAACCTCGGTTCTCTCTAGATGAGGGAACGAGTATTGCGTAAGCTAGCTTACGCTACGGGAAAGATTAATCTTTTCTGAGAAATTGAAGCCAAAAATTATCCTATAATTTTGTATCTATTCACAACGCAGTTCAGCTGCAGCAGAGCATGAGCAGGCTAGCTAGCAGCTCATTGGCTCGCTCACAGGGAACTGCTTAAGCCTATGAGGAGACACGAATGAACTCTCGGCCAATGAGAGTCTGACCTGCTCTCATTGCGTCAGAGCCCGCCGAAACGGGCGTGGCCAGAGAGTATAAATTCGCCTCTCAGGCTGTAAATTCTGGTTTTCATAGAATGAAGCGAGAACGCTAGTGGCACAAGCACGGCCAGGAACGCAATACTCGTTCCCTCATCTAGAGAGAACCGAGGTTACGTTAGGTAACCGATTCGTTCTCTTACGAGAGGTTCTCTCGTATTGCGTAAGCTAGCTTACGCTACGGGAACACCTGGTCAACGCCGTGCGTGCTAAGCATCCACTATGAGTCCCAGGGGGGACCCCGGGGAACCCTTATGAGTGGGAATAAAATATGTACATGTGACAAAGGCCAGCGGAGCGGGCCGGGGATTTGTGAAGTACATAAGCACATAATAAGGAGGGACAGAACGAGACCGGTCTGCGTGAATAACTCCCTATAGTGCAGCTCAACCAGAAGAGTTGTGACATACTAGACTGCTAGTAGTTTAGCCTGCAAGGCGGGAACTTCCAGATAGTAAAATCTGATAAAGGTGGAGGGGGAAGCCCATCCCGCTGCCACACAAATATCATGAATGGAAATTCCGCTGGACCAAGCCCACGATGAGGCCATGCCTCTAGTGGAATGGGCCCTGATGCCCAGAGGGCATGGCAGGTCTTTTGACGCGTATGCGGCTGCAATGGCATCAACTATCCATCTGGACAGAGTCTGTTTCGAGGCGGCCAACCCCTTGGTGCGCCCACCGAACGAAACAAAAAGCTGCTCAGCTCGTCTGACCGGAGCAGTGCGAGTAAAGTATAATCTCAGGGCCCTGACCGGACACAGGAGATTAGAGTCAGATTCGCTATCGGATGCAGGCAGAGCCGATAGAGAAATAACTTGTGCCCTGAAAGGGGTACCAATCGCTTTTGGGACATAACCATGTCTAGGTTTGAGAACGACTAAGGAGTCATTGGGCCCAAACTCCAGACAGGAAGCGCTGCTGGACAGCGCGTGAAGGTCCCCCACACGCTTCACTGACGCGAGCGCGAGCAGGAAGATATTCTTGAGCGAAAGGTATTTGAGCTCCACGGTGTTTAACGGTTCGAATGGGGGGGCTTTCATAGCTTCGAGAACTATGGAAAGGTCCCAAATCGGCACCGACGGGGGGCGTGAGGGGTTCATCCTTCTAGCTCCCCTGAGGAAGCGGATGACTAAGCCATCTTTGCCCAGTGACTGGCCACGCCGGGGTTCAGCGAACGCCGCGACGGCTGCCACATACACCTTGAGAGTGGAAGGGGACCTGCCCTTATCCAGCATCTCTTGGAGAAAAACTAGCAAGGAAGGAACCTCGCATGACCGTGGGTCCAAGTTTCTGTCGGTGCACCACTTAGAGAACACAGACCATTTAGACGCATAGAGCCTTCTAGTAGAAGCCGCTCTAGCCTGCATGATCGTGTTTTAACACTCCTTCTGGCAAAGCAACGGGTAGTCGTTGATCACCCACGCATGAAGCGCCCAGCGCTCTGGGTGGGGATGCCAGATCGTGCCGCGAGCTTGGGAGAGGAGATCTGTTCTGACTGGAATGGGCCACGGGGCTGTCTGTGACAGCTGAGTGAGCTCCTGAAACCAAGTCTGACCTTCCCAACGCGGGGCTATGAGGAGCACCGAGTGGCGTGTTTCCCTGATTCTCTGAAGCACCTGTGGTAGCAGAGACACCGGAGGGAATGCATAAAGCGGGCGGCTGGGCCAGGTCTGGGCTAGCGCGTCCTCGCGTTTTGAGAAAAATATTGGGCAGTGGGTGTTTTCTTCTGAGGCGAAGAGGTCCACCTCTGCTCTGCCGAATATTCGCCACAGCTTTTGGACTGTAAGAGTGTGCCGGGACCATTCGCCAGGGGGAATGGGGTTCCTGGACAGACTGTCTGGACCGTCGTTCAGATGGCCCGGCACGTGCGTCGCTCTGAGCGAGAGCAGGTGACACTGGGACCAAACTAGGATGCGTTCTGTCAGCCGGAAGAGAATTCTGGATCTGACGCCGCCCTGACGGTTTTAGATAGGAGACCACAGCCATATTGTCCGAACGGATCAGCACATGGTGACCGTGAATGCGCGGCAGAAAGCGCGTGAGCGCGTTCTCGACCGCCAGCATCTCCAAACAGTTTATGTGGAGGAGACTCTCCTGAGCTGACCAGGGGCCGAAGGCCGGTGAGCCCTCGCAGACCGCACCCCAACCCGTGTTGGATGCGTCTGTCGAAAATGACTTTTCGGCGAGAAAAGGTCCCCAAGGAAACGCCCCGCTGAAACCATTCTGTCATGGTCCATGGCTGCAGAGCTGTGATACAGGTCTGCGTTACCTTTATCAGCTGGCGGCCCGTGGTCCACGCGTGGTGAGACACACGGCTCTTCAACCAGAACTGAAGCGGGCGCATGCGCAGTAACCCCAGCTGGAGCACTGCGGAGGCTGAGGCCATGTAACCCAGCGCCTTCTGAAAAGTTTTCAGAGGTGTGAGTCTGTTCATCTGAAAAGATGGGGCGAGACGCTGCACACGGCGCGCGCGCTGTGTAGACAGACGAGCCGTCATTGAGACCGAGTCTAGCTCTATACCCAAGAAAGAGATAGTCTGACTGGGTTGAAGTGCGCTCTTTGTCCAGTTGACAGAGAGGCCCAAACTTTTCAGATGGTCGAGGAGAACTGTACGATGAGACAGTAGCTCCCTCTGTGATTGTGCCAAAATCAGCCAGTCGTCCAAATAGTTCAGTATTCGCAGCCCCTGACTCCGCAGGGGGGCGAGCGCCGCATCCATGCACCTCGTAAACGTGCGGGGTGCTAGGGATAGGCCGAACGGGAGGACGGTGTATTGATAAACCTGGCCTTCGAAGGCGAAACGTACGAATGGCCTGTGAAGGGGATTTATCTGAATCTGAAAGTAGGCATCTTTCAGATCTAGTGAAATGAACCAGAGTTTTCTGATAGTGAGCATTTTGAACGGTCTCTTCATGAGAACTCTGTTCAGAAATCTGAGGTCTAAGATTGGTCTGAGGCCGCCATCTTTCTTTGGAACCAGAAAATAACGTCCGTAAAACCCCGACTCGCTCATAGATAGAGGAACTCTCTCTATAGCCCTTTTGCACAATAGTTTTGCTATCTCTGAACGGAGCAGAGTCACTGCTTCTAGGTTCACAATAGTTTCTAGCCGCGCTCGGAAACGTGGAGGGCGGCGGTGAAACTGTAAGCGATAGCCTAGCCTTATTGTGTTTAGCACCCACTGGGAAATTCCCGGAATAGCTTCCCACGCTTTGAAGCGTAACGCTAAGGGGTGAATGGCTACATGGTCCCCGTTGCTGCACACAGCGGGCCGCGCGGGCGCGCTCATAGTGTTTATGACAGCGGGACTTACACTCAGAGAGGAGTTTAAGGGCCGTGTAACAGAGTGAGCAGAGGTGGGACGCGCACACGGGCTCGTGGGCGCGCTTATGCACTCTGAAACTCGAGCGGGTTGGAACCGCTTTATGAGAGTGGGCTCTGTGAGACACACGGGAACTGAAAAGCTTTTGTGTATGAGTGAACACAGTGTTGTGGGCACATTTTCTACACGTGAGGCTTTTATGCTCTTTTTGAGATATCTCTGGGTCGCCGTGAAAACGGTGTTTGTGCACATGCAGTGCTTTGTGTATGAGTGAACACAGTGTTGTGGGCACATTTTCTACACAATAGGTTTTTATGCTCTTTTTGAGATATCTCTGGGTCGCCGTAAAAACGGTGTTTTGTGCACATGCAGTGTTTTGTGTATGAGTGAACACAGTGTTGTGGGCACATTTTCTACACAAGAGGCTTTTATGCACTTTTTTTTTTTTTGGATTTCTCTGGGACGCGGTGAAAACGGCGTTTGTGCACATGCAAGCGGGAAAAGAGACCGGCTTGTTGATGGCGGTGTACACTGCTGCAGTAGCCGTGTGAACGGGGACTGACAGAGGGCGAAACCTTGATGGTGGTTCAGCCATGGTGAGAAATAGCCGTCCTTTTCTCAGCTGAGGCTGGTCACGTGAGCGGCCTACAGCGGGATATATATATAGCCTGAAATCGGCTGCACTTGTGACGCGCGTCGCGTGCAAGTGCGTGTTAGAAACGTGAGCGCTGCAAGCGGGCACGAGACTATTTTTAGCCTGCAGAGGCTGGACTTGTGACGGCATAAAAATTATCTGCGAGAGCCGGAATCGAACGCGGGTCTCTGGCGTGAAAAGCTGAGCCACAGGGCCACTGAGCCACAGGGTTAATGACACAAGCACAGTAGCGCGAGCAGATAAGAGGGCGTGATAGCAGTAACAGGTTCGGCCTCAGCGGAACTAACACACTATAACCCATTTGTTCAGCTTTATGCTCGGAAATGAGAACGTTTCTCATGAGCGCGGGAGAGCGCGGCCGCTTTCTGTCACGTAAGGGCCCGTTCACATATCGCGTCTTTTGCGCGCTCAAGTTCATTATTTCAAATGGAGGCGCGCGGTTTGCGCGCTCATAATGTAAGCGACGCGGTCGCGGTGCGACGCGCTCGTTTTTTCCAGGCGCGTCCGCGCCGCATCGAGATAAAAACATCTCAACTTTTCAGAATGCCGCAAGCGCACCATAAGCGCACAGTAGGTCACGTGACAAGAACCAACCGGAGCGCAACCGCCCTAGCGTTTTGAAAAAAAAGAATGCGGCGCGCCCAGCGTTTTCTACGCGTTTTTAGGCGCGATATGTGAACGCAGCCTAATGGTGTGTTCACACCGAACGCGAATAGAGCGTCAAATACGCGTCTATCGCGTTAAGTTAGACGCTTGAACATTCGCTCGAGTTCAAATTTTTCAACTTGCGCGGAAGACATTCGCGGCAAACGCGTCGCCCAATTCGCGTCATTCGCAACGCCCGCATTCGCGAAATTCGCGTCTTTGCATTGACTTTGTATGTAATCTACTCGCGCAAATAATTAAATTCGCGTTCGGTGTGAACACACCATAAGAGAGCTGGGCGCGAGCTCAGAGCTGCATAAAGATTATCTGCGAGAGCCGGAATCGAACACGGATCTCTGGCGCGAAAAGCTTTGTGTTCCACCACTGAGCCAGGGGTAAAGACACAAACATAACAGCGCGAGCAGATAAGAGGGCGTGATAGCAGAAACAGGTTCGGCCTCAGCGGAACTGATACACTATAAACGCTTTATGTAGCGGCGTTATACGCAGGCGGGAGAGCGCGGCCGCTTTCTGTAACGTAAGAAAGCTAGCCGAGAGCTCAGAGCTGCATAAAAAATTATCTGCGGGAGCCGGAATCGAACACGGGTCTCTGGCGCGAAAAGCTTTGTGTTCCACCACTGAGCTAGGGGGAAGACACAGGCTTTATATCGCGAGCAGATAAGAGGGTGTGATAGCAGCGACTAGTTCGGCCTCGACGGAACTTAACGCACTATAAACCCACTTGCCGGTGACGCGTATGCATGGGGCCGGGCTAGCTCTCTTGTAAAGTAAAGAAAGCTAGCCGCGGTTGGCACAGCTGTAAGCGGCTCGTCCCCCATTCAGCGCTCGTAGGCGGTGAGAGGGGGAGGCGGCGTAACGCTTCGAGTCGAGCCCGCAGGGTCAACAACAGAAGCCCATTCGCAGAGGAAACATCCGCCGTCGGCGGGAGAAAGCTCTGCGTGTCCCAGTCCCAGGCAGAGAGCGCAGAAGAAGGCGGGCTCTGGCGCTGAGAGGGACGCGGCATGAGCCGCAGGTGTGCGAGGCATCTTAAAAAAGACGCTCGCTGCTCTTTTAGATACACACACACAATACAAGAAGCTTTTGGTAAAGGATATGAACCCGTCGGATGGCGCTAGCTTGCAGGACGGCTGAAGGTGGCGAAGACGGCCGGCTTCCTCAGACTCCCAGATGCTCGCTAGAAGGTGCCTTTTCCACGACGGCGGCTTCTCTCAGGATCAGCAGCAGATGCGTGTAGCCTCGCTGAAGATATGAAAAATCAGCATTTACAGCCTGAGAGGCGAATTTATACTCTCTGGCCACGCCCGTTTCGGCGGGCTCTGACGCAATGAGAGCAGGTCAGACTCTCATTGGCCGAGAGTTCATTCGTGTCTCCTCATAGGCTTAAGCAGTTCCCTGTGAGCGAGCCAATGAGCTGCTAGCTAGCCTGCTCATGCTCTGCTGCAGCTGAACTGCGTTGTGAATAGATACAAAATTATAGGATAATTTTTGGCTTCAATTTCTCAGAAAAGATTAATCTTTCCCGTAGCGTAAGCTAGCTTACGCAATACGAGAGAACCTCTCGTAAGAGAACAACAACAAAAGCAATAAAGCAATCACCTTGGCTATAAAGCTACTGGGCATGACGTGTGGAAAAGACAATCAAGATATTGTGCCCACAAATTAAGAATTCGTTCCCACAACTTAACGTTGCCACAATTTAAGTAAATTAAATCAAGGGGACAAATAAGTATAATGTGGCCACACATTTGAACTAAACCAAGTCCAATAACTTGTGGAAACAAATTCTTAATTTGTGGCCACGATATATATTGTTTCTTCCTCATGTCTTGTGCCAGACAGTATAATAAGCATTTCCTCTGAAATTTTGTTGATAAATGATACACAGATGCTCCTATAAACACACACTTGTGATGCTTATCCTGCCCCCCGGCTTCTACTGATCGGTCCCACTGTTTTAAAACTGACATTAACACAGCATCTTAAAAAAAGAGCAGTGGGAAGCTGCCCTAAAAACAGTTGTAAGATTAAATTATATGCAAGGATAACAGCACCAATCACAGTTCAATATGCAAATAGACATAAGAAGAAGACCAGCACATATTATGATGATGTAACTGCTTTTACATTCTGAATGCTGACCATTCTATCAATGCGAACTTTAATCAAACTTTAATCTTAATTTGTGACCCGTGCTGGCAAAATGAGTCGCAATGAGCAAATTTTCAAAAATGAGTAATTGTTATTTTTACATTTTCTATTAAAAAGCCTTCAAAATGATGCTTTGTTGGAATCAGACAAAAAATGTATGAGCTACACCTGTTTGAAGTCGAATCAGCAAGGTCAATTTTGAGAAAAATCAAGTTGAATTTTTTGGAAATTTCCCAAACAAAAATCACCTAGCAAGCAACCATACCTTAAAATCCCTGGTAATACAAGCAAATTTGGCACCAAGTCAAAACCCATATCCAGAGGAAAATATATATTATCAACTTTTTTTTTCCATGATACCACAATTGCTTGATTAACATGAATGAGACAGACAGCCTATAGGCTATATAAGACCTACTTTACTGCACCGATCTAATATAATGTTAGACATCAGATGTTTTCTTTTGTTTATATAGCATGAGTTTGAAAATTACATTTCATTAGTTCAGACTCATGCCATCGAGAATTCGCTGAATATTCTCAAAGTTAAACGATACCAAACTTGTGCAGTCGTCGAGAAGTGAGCAGAGAATTTCTTTTTTCATGGACAAAGGAAAGGTACTCCTCTCAGAAAACGCACAAATAAAGATACTTTTAGATGCTTAATTGCTATTTGGAGCATTGGGATCGCTAGACTAGGGCTCAATGAACTCCTATTTGTGAAAATCTCAAATTCGACCAAAAGTGACATTTTTCACTTGTTTTGCCTGTATACCGTAGTCACTTAAAAAAAAAAAAAATTATACAAGGCTTATAATGACCAGCACAGAACAGAAAGTTTGTGTTAAAGTCAACATAAAATAAAAAAACTAAAATTCTTATTTTTTATGGAATATTGCTGTATTTATTATAAATGACTATAAATGATCTGTGCAAACAACGACCATCCAACTATCCAATCAATTCCCCATGGACAAAATCAAGTCCGGCCATACTTAATTACGTGTTTGAACTGTTTCATTCGGATATACGTCACCACAGGGAAGAAAAGATTATCTTAACTTCCGTTTCATGCCAACTTTAAATTGTTTAGGGCTTAATTAAGTGCCGAAGTTTCATAGCCTACTTGGGATTAGGCCAGAATGTATTTGTGTTTGTCTGAACTGTTTTTTCTTCTTCTAGGTAACCTATTTTTTAACCTTAGAATGAACCTTCAACTTCTAAATTTTCCCTTTTAGTGTTGCTGTGGCATCTTTACACCGCATTTATCTCTCAATCTGGCCTTCTCACATCTGCCCCTGCCCTCTGCATAACTCCTGTCCTGTGCTAGAGGTAAAAGGTAAGTTACAAAGAGTTCAGGGAGTGACCAGGCGCACCTTTCAGCAAGGATTACTCAGAGAAGGATTACTGAGAGACGGCAGCATAACTCACAACTTTATCTCATCTGAAAGGATAAATGGATTAACTAAAGAGCAGAGTTTAGTGTTGCTGACTGAGCCATATCCTATAAGCAGCAGAAATGTGTATCATCCACTCAACATGCTTAAGATCACTTCAAGTGGACTGTGTAAAGTGAGATGAGATGGATTTCATTAGGACGAGCATGACACAAACTGGATGCACAAGTTACTTGATATGCGAGTTGTATTTAGTTGTTCTCACCCTGTTTCCTTCATGGTCCATGTCCGAGCACCCTGTTTCAAGACAGTCTTCCAGCGCCACGCAGCGCTTTTTCACCGACACCGTGTTTCCACCCCAGTTCATCTTATGACGTGTGTAGCAATATCTGCTCTCTAGAAGTTACAAAGAAACTTCACTTAGTTTTCTCAAGGGCACACTGTATACATCCCAAAAGACAACATTAGGATTTGACTAATGAAAAGAAACATTCCTCCAGGGATTTTGCTACGGATATTGCAGTACTCGCCCTCAGCCGAATCTTTAATAAGTGCCCATGAAATATGAGTAACAAAATATTGCACAAGAACTTCATGGAAACACACAACACAACCATATCTGAGCATTCCAGGAAATGTATACATTCCCTGCAAAACTGCAGATGATCTGTAGCAGCATGTGCTTACTGAAGGAATGAGTGTCTGTAAGGGGTTACAGCTCTTGAGTCATTAACACAGTGCTGTAAATCAGACCCAACACAGCACCAGCCTCCTTATATGGGAGGCTATTCATGGCAAAAGCATGTACCGAATACATATCTTAAACAACTCATAGGCAAAGCAGGGCCTGAAAAATACTGAACCTGCATCTTATTAACTTATTCACTAAGCATTCGCTAAATGCACTTAACCCTCGTGTTGTATTGCATTTTGACCCAGAGAGGATCTTCTTTTCCCAAAAAAATGCTATTGTTATCGCATTAGACTGCAACTTACTGACTTTGCTCACTTTTGTTCTTTTTGGGGGTTATTTTCCACCTGGTTACACTTGTGTTCCCAGTCAAAAATGACCAACCCTCACAAAATAGCTTATAATTCTCTTGTTATGAGACAAGGTTTTTAATCTTGTTTCCGTTCAATTAGGAAAGGTTTTGTATTTATTTTATGAACTGATTGATCGTAGGCCGCTAGGCGGCCTCATTGATCTGAGCTTATGCACCTTTTGTTTTTTTAGTTGAATAAGCTTGATTGAACTATTTTCACTCATAAGCTGAAGTGAATAAGCTCAGATCAATGAGGCCTATACCATCAATCAGCTCCAAAAAGAAATACAAAACCTGTGGTAGGTGAAAGAAAACCAGTAGACAAAAAAAATGTAATCTAACATTTGGTGATAATATAGCATAATGAAAGATTTACAAGCAATGTAAAAGGTTGGTCGTTTTTGACTGGGAACCCCAAATTAGTTTTTTTTTAGCACAGCACAATTAAATAGCACTGCGCTGTGACCATTTAAATGAAGTCATTGTCATTCTTTTCAGCCCAAACATACCTCCTTTGTATATAAATTGGATTCATTATAAATTGCGCCTTGTTTTGCAGAACGACATAAATACTGTACTTTAGTTTTAATAGGCGCCCTGCTTCAAACTGCTCTGTAATAAGAGAGAGAGGTTACGGAGATGTTGGCACCTCGTGGACAGTAGAGATCTGGAGCCCAGCGATTGCATTCATAGTTGTCAGGTGCATCTTCACAGGTAAAACATTTAAATCCTCCTGGATATGGAGTTGCTGGGAAAACAAAGGACAAAGAATAATAATCAGTGTAAACGGAATGATTTAGATCATCATTTAGTGATTGCAAAGCTGTTGGTGAAACGGATTAACTGATCATGTTGAACAAAAGGACGGGAATCATCAGATATAAATATTATATTGTATGATATTGTACATACATATAGGCTAACATCTTATCTGCCAATACAATCTTATATTTATGCTACCGTTCAAAAGTTTGTTGCCAGGACATTTTTTATGTTTTTAAATGAAGTCGCTTATGCTCCCTAAGATTGCATTTATTAATGAAATAAATAATTTATATATGACAGTAAAAACAGTAATATTGTGAAATATTATTACAATTTAAAATAGTTCTTTTCTATTTTAATATATTTAAAATGTAATTTGTTTTTGTGCTGAATTTTCAGCATCATTACTCACATGATCCTTCAGAAATCATTCTAACATAATGATTTGGTGCACAAGAAACATTCCTTATTATTATCAATGTTGAAAACAGCAGTGCTGCATAATATTTTTGAGGAAACCATGATATATATTTTTCAGGATTCTTTGATGAACAGAAAGTTCAATAGAACAATTATGTAAGGATGACAACAATGTAAAAAACAACAACTTTTCTCTCTCTTTCATCTGCATCAAACTTAATTTGCACAGTTATATTCGGAGCATGTTATAAATGTGGTCGAATAGAAATAAATGATTGTAGGCCTATTATCATGCCACAGTGCTTTCCCCTCAGACTAGCTCTGAATGGTAATCAATTTTCTTTTTCTAAAAAAAAAAAAAGCAAACCAGTAAAAAAAAAAAAAAAAAGGTTTCTCCTATTGACCAAGTTAAACATTTTTTTTGGACATTATGATTTACACACAGTGTTTACAGAATAGATAACATGCCAGACAATCATTTCATTTTTAAATAAATTGCATGTAATTATGTAGGCTACCTGTATCAATTTCCTAATCAATAGAACCACTTGTGAAAGACTGACATTGTCTATTCAAGTGCTCTTTGCTGTTAATCCTATAGGTGAACAAAGTACTTGGGAAAAGTACTTTTCTCTTCCTGAAGCTCCACAATCAGATTACACGTCTCACATAGAACATAAACATCAGCCTCATTTTTGTTATAAAGTTTTAAAGAGAAAAACAACTCTTGTTGACCTCATCCAGCAAATGCTTCAAGAATCTGATCAAGTGACCATTTTAAACAGGCCATTCATTCATTCATCCAAACAGCCAAATGTGCTCTTACTTCTGAGGTCCCTAAATAGCTCTGTATATACAAACAGAGCTTAGTTAGAAGTTCATTTATGACCCACAGGTTTTACTGTTAACCCCCACCAGATTCCTGTGAGCCTCCTTATGAGAAGGTGGTCACTAAATAATTAATACAGCGATACAACTGACTGTAACCTCTCTTATATATTTACCGCACAGACTTGAAGAGATGAGAGAAACATTTGAGTTAATACAACAGCAAAATATGAAGTCTGAGGCACATTTACGACCCTTGTGTGTCTGTCAACATTATACATTTTCTTCCTTTCCTTCCTTTCCAATTCAATGTGCATGTCTTGTGTGGATATATGTTTAATATCTGATGTCAAAAAAGGAGAACACAGAACAATTTGTAATATAATTCAATGTAAACATGCTTCGAGTTTTTATAATGAGCTGATTTTTGATAGCCACCAACATTTTGTTGTACATGTAAACACACTCGTTGTGTAGTTCTAAGTACGCTAAATACGTGGAGTGTGTTTTGTTTTCTGAATGATCTCATGGGATTGTAAATCCACACTTGCCATCTGGAGTGATGAAATAAAATCAACTCCATTATCTCAGTAAATCCTCTACATCAATGTGCAACAGCCGGATATCAGAAGGTCACAAATACGGTGGTGGTGCACAAACTATTTTGAGATCTCAAGCTCACACACACACACACACACACACACACACACAATCCCCGCTGGGCCATTGAGCAGATACGGATATCTCCAGCTGTACACCGGAGAGCCACCACACAGCTAAGGATTTTGGGAGGTCCTGCTCACTGTGATGAAAGAGTTTGGGATTTCACAGATTAATTCTCTCAACAGAACTGAAACCAACATCTACTCTCTTTCATTATGGATAATTGTACTTGCCACATGTAACCATCTCACTGAGATATTTACATATCAAAACCATTGATAGTATTGGTAACAAGTGAAGTGATCAAAACTTTTACGGTAAGTCATGGAACAACATGTAATGCATAGAATATCAGTACATTCAAATATGAATAAATAGGAAAAATAGGAATGTGCACCATGAGGAATTTAACAATTCTGGTTCCATTTCTGAATGGAAAATGTTTGGAATAGCTTTCACTAAAGGACATTCTAATAAAACAATAAAATAAAATAAAAAATAAAATATATATATAAGCTGTACGTATATACAACTTCTATTTTTATATACGTTTTTAATATACATAAAGATTTTTAAAAGAAATTAATATTTTTATTCAGCAAGGATATTAAATTGATAAAAAGTGAGATTAAAGACATTTATAATGTTACAAAAGATTTATATTTCAAATAAATGCTGTTCATCAAAGAATCTTTAAAAAAAAGTATCACGATTTCCACAAAAATATTAAGCAGCACAATTGTTTTCAACATTAATAATAACAATAATTGTTTCTTGAGCAACGAAACAGCATATTAGAATAATTCCTAAAGGATCATGTGACACTGAAGACTTGAGTAATGGCTGAATACATAAAAAAGTAACAAAATAAAAAAGAAATGCACTAATATTTCATAATATTACATTTTCGATTAAATAAATGCTGCCTGGTGAGCATGAGACTTCTTTCAAAAACATTAAACAAATCTTACCGATCCCAAACTATAGTGTAAGTATTTGTCTGAATGTACACTCACCGGCCACTTTATTAGGTACCCCATGCTAGTAACGGGTTGGACCCCCTTTTGCCTTCAGAACTGCCTCAATTCTTCGTGGCATAGATTCAACAAGGTGCTGGAAGCATTCCTCAGGGAGTTTGGTCCATATTGACATCATGGCATCACACAGTTGCCGCAGATTTGTCGGCTGCACATCCATGATGCGAATCTCCCGTTCCACCACATCCCAAAGATGCTCTATTGGGTTGAGATCTGGTGACTGTGGAGGCCATTTTAGTACAGTGAACTCATTGTCATGTTCAAGAAACCAATTTGAAATGATTAGAGCTTTGTGACATGGTGGAAGTAGCCATCAGAGGATGGGTACATGGTGGCCATAAAGGGATGGACATGGTCAGAAACAATGCTCAGGTAGGCCGTGGCATTTAAACGATGCCCAATTGGCACTAAGGGGCCTAAAGTGTGCCAGGAAAACATCCCCCACACCATTACACCACCACCACCAGCCTGCACAGTGGTAACAAGGCATGATGGTTCCATGTTCTCATTCTGTTTACGCCAAATTCTGACTCTAACATCTGAATGTCTCAACAGAAATCGAGACTCATCAGACCAGGCAACATTTTTCCAGTCTTCAACTGTTCAATTTTGGTGAGCTCTTGCAAATTGTAGCCTCTTTTTCCTATTTGTAGTGGAGATGAGTGGTACCCGGTGGAGTCTTCTGCTGTTGTAGCCCATCCGCCTCAAGGTTGTGCGTGTTGTGGCTTCACAAATGCTTTGCTGCATACCTCGGTTGTAACGAGTGGTTATTTCAGTCACTGTTGCCCTTCTATCAGCTCGAACCAGTCTGGCCATTCTCCTCTGACCTCTGGCATCAACAAGGCATTTCCGCCCACAGAACTGCCGCTCACTGGATGTTTTTTCTTTTTCGGACCATTCTCTGTAAACCCTAGAGATGGTTGTGCGTGAAAATCCCAGTAGATTAGCAGTTTCTGAAATACTCAGACCAGCCCTTCTGGCACCAACAATCATGCCACGTTCAAAGTCACTCAAATCACCTTTCTTCCCCATACTGATGCTCGGTTTGAACTGCAGGAGATTGTCTTGACCATGTCTACATGCCTAAATGCACTGAGTTGCCGCCATGTGATTGGCTGCTTAGAAATTAAGTGTTAACGAGCAGTTGGACAGGTGTACCTAATAAAGTGGCCGGTGAGTGTATATTAACAAACCATATTGTTAAAAATTATATAATGTAATTTTGTTTGTTGATGACATAAAGAATGTTATCAGAAAATGTTACCAATATATTTGACACATGTAAAAGCCATTTCCCCATAAAGAATTTCAAGATGCAAATCAAACGGGGATTAAAGAAGAAAAGGTCTCAGGCAGAAAAGGCTACACTGACCTATAGCGCCACGGCCACATGCTCTGAACAATTGATTTCACATCGGCAGGCCTAGCGGGCAGTCTGAGTTTTAGGGTGGGGGGTCTTAACACAGCTGGTGTGTCAGCTGAGACGCTCAGTTTAGTTGCGTGTCACTGGCCCGCTGCTCAACCACTGATACAGCCTGGAAGGCCAATTATAAGGTCACAATATAAAATCTAGAACCCCATATTTGGAATGAATTTGCATTCAGAGCCTGAAGGTCGTCTAACAGCTCCCTACCAGCCCTTAAAAGATCTATAGAAGCCAGGATTGACAGCCGATGACCCTTTTGTTCTTCCACATGAGATGACCCAGGAACTCAAGGATTATATCAGTTTCATTTTCAAAGCTTTGGCAGGATCTAAGAAGAAAGAAGGCGAAAGAAGAAATACTTACTTGAGGGATGGAGAAAAACAATGTCTTTTTCTGTGAATTCCCTAGATTGAACCGCTTTGATCCAGCCGGTGATGGCGGTCAGCATTAAGCCCCAGGCCATGATAGGCCAGGGTCCCATTGCTGGAGGAAAACTCACATGAGCAGGTACCCTGATCCAACACGGCACCTGTTAAACAACACAGCCATGGTCACACAAAACAACTTAAATATTAGGCGCCAAATGAATTAAGTTTAACAAGGGATTAAAGAAACATCTGCTGAAGAACGAAAGGAACTCTATAGGATTAAAGCAGTTCAAAGCAGTGTTATCCCTCTCCAAAACACCGGACACAAAGAGGCATGCTTGTTATTCCAGCAAGTGCTTCATTATATCAATGACAATGTCAGCAGTCTGCCAATGTCCTGACCCTCTTAGCTGTTTGCTTTGGTTGTCGGCAGCAGAACAAACACTCATCTATTGTTTTCAATTACTGAATGCCATGCTCACGATGCAACATCTTTGAAGAACACCATAAAATGGATACTTGTATATTTACAGTCCACGAAACAGGATCAAATTTAATGGAACAAAATGTGCTTCATGTGGCTTTTTTTGTTGTTGATAGGATTCTATTAACAATATAATAGTAAAATAATTTACTTTAAACTAAATCCAATTAAAAAGCATAACAAAGGTTGGAAAATGAGAAGGATCTGTGCTGTTTTTTTGGTGCGATATACTTGTTCAACAAAAAATCCCCCTGAAAGACTAAAATAAGCCTGGAGAAAAGCACATGGCTTAAACACAGAGCTCTGCGGTTTACATTACTGAAACGAAAGCTGGGGCAGATTACACATTTTTCAGAAGTGCTTGACTAAACCGCTTTGTGTGCTTTCTTCAGCGAGTCAGATGGAGGGCCAGCCAGAAATCAATCCATTCATTTTGGTGAATCAATTGCTCTTACTTTGTTTACAACTCTCAAATTAAATTCCCCTCTACAAAAAGCTGACTCATAATAAGAGAGAGCAGAGAGAGCTAATACATATAACAGAGCAACCTTCAGGCTGCCGTAGACGTTTTACAAAAACACTGTTTGAAATGTATACCATTTTTGCCGCATTTCCCCTTTAAAGTTTATGAGTTGGAGTATATTTCAGTCATCAGGTATGACAGAGAATCAGAGTGCTTCCTTTATGAGATATTTGCTTTATTTACAGCATATTAGATCAAAACAGCTAATTTTCTACACTTGTAATACTTTTATTATTTAATGAAGGCAACAAGCAAGTTAAAGTTTTGAGATGGTAAGTACTGCATTGTGTATTTTTTCTTCTCCATCAGTTCATTCACATACCAATCTTAACCTGGAAGGACAAAAATCACATCAATGATACATTTTTTATTTATTTATCTTTTTATCAATTTAAAGACAATAAGAACCCTTAAAGTTGATAATGTCCAATATGATTATAATGGCTTTCCCGTCTGAGGATGTAAAATAGATTTCCTCCTGTTAATGTGTTAGCCATGCTATACTCTCAGAAAAATGATTAAATAGCCCGACACCGGGCGACCCTGAGCTCCTGCTGCTGTGTAGCTCCTGACCTCTCAGACAATGTAGAGTGGCACAGCACAGCCGTGTTACAGAGCATCAGGTTTCCTCAAAGCAATCCTTTTCTCCACTGAAGGTCTAAGGTGCCATTGAAAAGGAGCACAGAAGTACATATCAGTTTTCGTTTTTAGCTGATTGGTCCCACAAGCTGTTCCTTGACTGGGAATGTCAACAAACAATTTAAGTATGTTTTGACACAACTTTGATAAATGCGCTGACCTCTATAATACGTTAAATCTGGAGGTAATGAATTCGATTTTCCCCTTGGGCTTTCAGCATTATATTAGTAAGAATTGAACCCGTGTACAGTACATGCGTTTCATGTGGATGCTGAACAGATACAGAGAAAACCACCCTTTGTATGAGACTGTGACATGAAGAGGGAATGCCTTGAGTAACAAAAATACATCCTACTGATAAGCAAACATGGATTCAGTTTCAACACAGGTGTCCTCAAACCGAGGCATCTTATTCAGCTTTATCTGTCATTGGAGAGTCTAATGCCCTAGCCCATCAAACACCAGATGCCCAGGCCACAACTTTGAGAACATGGTTGATAAGAGATCTTCAAAAATAATGAAATACAGAGACATAACAACTACAGTGCGTAGCATAAGCATCATCACATACCCTTCACCATTGGCATGGGGTACTTTCCATAAGATCATCTCTCAATGCAAATCAAACCAGCTATTAGGCTAACTGAAATAAAACCATGCCAATCTCTAGGCATGGTGAAGGGTGTGTGATGATGTGGGGCTATTTTAATTCCAAAGGCCAAAGGAACTTTATAGTATCCTGGATCCATGAAATAACTGGCCTTTTAAAATAAAAATCTGCCTGCCTCTATGGGAATTTAACATAGGGGTGTCCTGACTTATGAACCCTGTATTTTAAGGAAGAACATTTATTTATTTACGATACATTATTCATTCACAAAGAAAATTGGTGTCCTTAAAGGTTGGATTTTTCCTCATTTTTTAATTAAGGCATTAAGATCAATTTCCAAAAGATGATTTTTTTATTTCTCTTTTTAGTCAACTTTAGCATGGGTGTGTTCACTTATGCTAAGCATGCTAATGCACACTACCGTTTAAATGTTTGGTGTAATTCAAATAAATGCTGTTCTTGTGAACTTTCTATTTATCAAAGCATCCTGAAGAAAACAAAAAACAAATCATGATTTCAACCAAAATATTAATAAGCACACCTGTTTTCAAGATTGATGTAATATGTTTCTTGAGCAGCAAATCAGCATGTTAGAATGATTTCTGAAGGATCATGTGACACTGAACACTGGAGTAATGATGCTGAAAATCCAGCTTTGCATCACAGGAATAAATTACATTTTAAAATATATTACAATAGAAAATAGTTATTTTAAGCTGTAATGATATTTCACAGTATAACTATTTTTACTATACTGTTTGTTCAAATCAATGCAGCCTTGGTGAGCATATAAAAAAAATATATAAAAAAAAAATCATGCACTTGCTTGAACCATTTGTGTGCCACTAATGCCAGCAGACCTTTTCTTTATAATTATATGAATAATTTCACTTTAAGTCTTGACATTCTAATCATAATAATGACGACTGTAACTCAAGCTAGTCAAACAAGGGAAAATTTTTATTTAAATACTTTCCAAACAAGGCACATAATAATTACTCTGACATTCAAAGGCAACCTTCCAGACCAATCAGGAAGTGCCTCAGGTTGAACTTCGGTGCCCGATCTCCTCTAAAGCTGTGCCAGGTGCCTGCCATGAGCAATACCTGTCATCAAAGCCTTCACTCCTGCAAGTCGCTCTGGAAAATGGAAACTGCGGTTGTCGGTTTGTTTAAGCAGACTATTCTGTTGTTTGGAGAGTGTTGAAGAGGATCACGATCCATTAAAGCATAGCTGGAGAGCAAACACTTTAGCACAACATGAACCTGGCTCAGAAACAAAACGACCTTTTGCACTCGCTTGATTGTACATCTGTACTGCTTTTATGCTGTCTCTGAGCCTTGTAATGCAAACGTTTTTGAGGCAAGTTAAGGAGGGATGACTATATGTCTATATAAAACCACTGGTACATTTAAACGTCTTTCAATAAGATTAAACATAAAATTGCACATAAACCTTGTCTATAATTTCTAATTAACACATCACATCTGTACACTGATGTAACACATTAATTTACAAAAAAATGTTCTCTGTTATACTTCATTTACATTCACTGTACATTTAATAATTTAGCAGGCGCTTTTATCCAAAGCGATTTACAAATGAGGAGAACAATGGAAGCAATCAAACCAACAACAGGGCCACAATATGCAAGTACTGTGACAAGTCCGTTAGTTTAGCACAGTACATAGCAATTAAAGAAATGGCTAAAGACTAAAGAAGTTAGGCAAGTCATTTCACCAGCAGGGAACAGTTTAAGTATCAATTTTCAGTCGCATTAACATTGTATTACAGTTCTGTGCTTTCTTTTGTTTGTCTCAGATGTTTCTGCTAAAAATAAATAAAAATAGAAACAAATAACACATTTGTTGCCATACCCATTCAAAGTTTTGGGGTTGGTAAGATATATATTTTTGTTAAGTCTATTATCACCAAGACTGCATTTAATTGATCAAATATACAATAAAATGTGTATATATCAAGATATTTTAAAATTAAATTTATGGCAAAGCTGAATTTTCATCAGTGTCACATGATCCTTCAGAAATCATTCTAATATGCTGATTTGCTGCTCAAGAAACATTTCTTATTATCATCAATGTTGAAAACAGTTGTACTGCTTCTAATTTTTGTGGAAATGCATATACTTTTTTGCTTTCCTTGATAAAACAAAAATAATTTGTGACATTATAAGTACCCATTATAAATAGCATTCTAGCTAAATAAAAATTATTTAACAGAATCTTACTGACCTCAAACTTTTGCACAGTAATGTATAGTAGTAGCCTAGATATTAAAGTGTATACTATAAGGTATACTAATGTATAGTATAATCTATACTAATGTAGATAGTTAGATCATTCGGTCTTGGAAGAATTTTATAAGAAATGTTTGAGTTTGTATTGAAAAACATGATACAAACATGTGAAACAAAAACATTGACCCCCCCCCCCCCCCCCATGAGTCATTTGACTGCATGTGTTACACAGCTTTTAAAACAAAACAGTGCTGATTTGAGTTTCTTTGCACCTGTGATACACCATGTAAGAATGACTGCGGGAGCTCTAGAAGCCTGACTTCCTCTCTATACAGCATGATACATCCAGTCACACTCATGTCATCTCATTCCTGCAGGTCACTGGCTGACTCAGACCCAGCAGGGTGGAGGCGAGAGACAGCTTGGTGAGGATTGAGTCTCCCCGCAGGTCAAGGGCCCTGGAGTTCCTGCCTGAGCCACTGCCAGTGCCAGGTGAAAAAGACTAACTCAGGTCAGAAACACGATATCCTGGGTTGTGAATTGGCCTGTGAATGGCAGTCGCTCCCATTAATGGAGGGAAAGAAATGCAAATCCTCTCCTGTGACTTCCAAAACTTGTTGGACCAGATTTTGCACAGGTTTGAGAAGT